ATGGATGGATGGATGGATGGATGGATGGATGGATGGATGGATGGATGTGATTATTGTGATAACGGTTTGTATTACAGAGGACTTGAGCTTGTTGATTAAGATTCTGCAACGTTCAAGTCGATAAGTGAGACGGCAACTATGCTCTGCTTATGTATTTTTGCAGCAGTTGTTTTTTTTAATGAGCATGCTGGGTAGCAATTTGCCATTTTTTTCAATGACCACCAGATGGGGTGGGTGGGCCTCTATAAGACCTCATTAAACTTTGTGGATCATGAAAACTCAAGCATCTTTCAGACTCTGACTGCAAAAATAAATTAGCCAAAAAATAACCAAAACATACATATAACTGCTCGAAAATAGTTTTTTATAAATATACAGCTAATATAGAACTGACCCAAATTACACAGTTGAGTGACGTTCAATGAGCACATTGTTGTTCAAGAGTTTATAACTCAGTGATTTGACTGGTTGGGATTGGTATATTTGTGGTATTGCCATAGAAAATCTCCTTGCATGTGCATGTTCACATTTTGGCAGTACACACAGAGTCAATCAATCCTGAGGAAGGTTTATCAGCGCATTTGGTGTTCGAACAGCCTCTTCAAAGCTTTTCCCACACTGCCACCAACCCCCAAACAAACTCCTCCAATCCTCCCTCAAGGATATATTCCTCTATCATTATGGTTAACAAACACACACAACTTCCTGTTCTGCTCCCCTTAGCTTGACAAACTATCGTTGGTGACCCATCAACTGCACAGCAGGTCAGTGTCCTCCTCAAAATTGTCAAACAATCCCTGATCGCACACTAAAACGCCCACTGAGACATTTAAGTAAGTGCTGTACTGTTAATATGAATACATCCCCTCCATTGTTTTCAAAGATAAATAGTTCACAGCAGTTTAGAATTAGTCTTATTATTTATTTACACTCAGCAGAGGTGACCACCCACCTAGAACCCCTGGGCTGCTTGGGCAGACTTTTTTGTCTCGCTGCAGCTGAGCACAGGTGCTGTCCATCTGTGTGTCAGCCTGTTTGGTTGCCCTCCCCCCAAGTGGCAGCCTGCTGGCTGAGCTTGTCATGACTGGGGGATGAAGAGGGTCCATAGCAGTCTATCCCTGCCAAACTCCCCTCCACGCAACGTCACTCACACCATCATCTCCTTTAAATCCGTCTCCAAGGGAGGCCTGTGCTTATCGTTTAGCCCCCAGGTTTTTCTCTGCTTCCTGTCTATCTTTGCTCCTGGGGAATCATCTTTGAAGTGCGGACATCAGTCCGTACAAGACGGATGCAGACTGTATGTAGCTATCTTTCTGTCAATGAGGGGAATCTTCAGCAGCAACAATCATTGCATCAAACACACCCTTGTATGCTCTTTTACAAACACCACATTCATGAAATTCGCACGTTTTCTCCCTTGCCTTCTTTTTAAAGATTTTTGCTGATAAAGAAATTGCATTTCATATAGACCCGAACTCATTAAAAGATTTAGTGTGGCCTTACAACATGCAACCCACCAACTTTATTAGCAGAACGTTCACCAGGGCGTAGCAAAATGAGGCAAATTAAGATACGTCATGAGAAAATCCACAGAGATCACAATAGAAACTGCTCCCCCTAAAACACTGCATCTGTCATCTGCATCACTTCCAAATATTTACACTGTCTCTGTGCCATGTTTTATGAGATAAAACTGTGTGACAAAGTAACTTATCTTACCACAGGGCTTCCATCAGTCCAGTGGAAGTCGCTGTCAAACATCTTATCATTTAATCCGATCCACTGGTAGTCCTGTCCACGACCTGCCATGCCGGGCAGAGAAAAACACAGCAGATTAGATTTGTGCTTTGCCATATGTCCATTTTAGGACTTTTCACATACTAAAAGTATAATGATAAATAGATTGCAGCAGCATTTTTTAATGCCAGAATCATTTTTCATGGTTTTCCAGCGTGATCAAATCTGTTTTTTGTTTTTTTCTTAGGATAATTTGTTAAGTTTCAATCTTAGCATGGGAAAAAGTCTCTAAGTACTGTTTACACTGGTTCTTACACTGATTACCTACACAGTATGTGCAAAATAGGAGTAAATCTGTGTCCTCAAGAATTTCCTCAATTTATCTACCCTATATGGCCAATAACTCCACCTCAAGGCACATATTTGGACTTTTTAGAGGCCCTGAAAGTTACATAGGTTACCTAGGTTCGTGCATGCTTAATGGAGACATTATAAGGATGCAACAGAAGCACCTTTGAGGATACCAACTCAAAGATGTCTTTGGACCCCAAAAAGTACATTTAGATGCTTTTTTCTTTGAGTGTACATTTCCAGTCACTCACTTACGGTTGACAAACTGTTGCTCCTCGTGGGAAAGGATACTGGCGAGGTGAGCCCCCTGTATGCGGCACTCTCGTTCTGCTGAGTCCCAAGTTTTCCTGAGGGGGAAGTATTTGTAGCAGTGCCCCTGAAATTTGTGCCAGCCAAAGTCGCATGTTTCTGTGTCTGTTAGAGGAAGAAGAAGGAATTGGAGAATACTGAAAAACTTTGATTTCAATTAGGAAAAGATCCACATGCATGAAAGAAAGAACTATCAAATGAGCCAAGGACCTCCCTCACCACCTCAACATTCATGACTTTACTTTACCTAAATTAATACATTTACATGAGTTTTAACCCCTGAGTATACTGGCCCTTCTGGCCTGCATTTGTCTTTGAAGAGTTTCTGTAGATGAAAGAAGGACTTTGTGGTGGATTCATCTTTGTTTCTCCTAAAACCTGTCTGCTACTGCCACTTTACAAGCCAGAGGCCTGGCAACAAGTTGTGAAAAATATAATATTAAAAATGTTTCTCTCAGAGTGCCTCAAATGTGCAAGTGAAAAACTAAAAAGAAAAATTACAATCTTAATGAAATGCAATATAAAGTAATTGGCCGTCAATCATCATAGATGTGAGTATGGAAAAAATTCTGCATTATTTCTACAAGTACTGAAGTTTTCATTTCAGATGTATAATACCAGTCGTACTCTAATGTGGATGAGTATGCCCATCTCATTGTCCCTCCCACCCTTTTGCATCTCAGCTTGAGACAACTAGCAGACAAAGAAAAATATGGACGTTTTTTTCTGGGTTGTGGTTTGTGTTACATCTTTAAACTGGAAAAACTGTCTAAGGTGGCAGCTGTGTCTACCTACACATGAGTGGGATTCACTGATGAGTGATCAACACAAAGTTTAGTGTTTAGACACCAGTCAAGAGAAATAAGTCAAAGTCAATATGGACCTGGAAATTCCGAATCAGCTCAGCCTCTGCACAGTTTGTCTAAGGCTGATAAAGTTTGGTTAGTCAGTTTGTGGTAGGGAACTTTAAAGTAATTACATTCTAATAATCCACAATGGAGATGTTACGAAGTGACTTCTAGACTAGTAGATCTCTAGTATCTCTCTGATTGTTTGAATTATTACATTTGTGCTCTAGAAGGTTTATAACTGAGAGCAATTAACTACAAGCGTGTAATTGGTCACCATGGTAAGAGCTGATCAGATCCTTTCTTATGTTATTTGGCCCAATAAATTCTGGGCCATTCTTGCAGCTACATCTGATTTTTGTCCTTTGCAATCAAATGTATTAATTTTCATATTTCTATAAAATGAACAGCATGAATGCAAAAGCAGCTGTTCTCAGTGTTGAAAGTGGTAAGGATTTTTGTTATTATGATACATGGGGGTGTAAATTGATCACAGTCCTTTACGAGGCCTGTGATCATCTGTGAGGCTTAAGTGTCAATGAAATGATATAGTGATAAAATAAATATATAAGTAATTTCACAATGGTAGATCCCTACCACAGTCTTTTCCATATGCGGTCTGAATCTCTTAGCAACACTGTTGTCTTTTCCAAGTCTGTATGAATTCTTCTTCACATTTTTTCCTCGACCTCTTGACTTGTTCCACTGAGGTCAAGGAAAATGGTTAAAGAGGAGACTTTTTTTGGTATCCAACCACAACCTCCGACTAGATTCTGATCTGTGATTGCTTTCAACAGCATATGCAGACAATGTGTCAACTGTCTGAGGCTGAGCGATCCCTGCAACTTTTATTATGTATCACAGACCCTGAAGGAAAACTTTAAGAAGTCTGTAAAAGGCAGTCTGTGCAGTGTTTATGACTCAGCTTATGCCTGGGAGAAATATAAAACAACACTCTGCTATTCCAAGATTGATTCAATTTTATATATACAATTTATTTCTAATATTTATTTTAAATTTTATCCCGAGTGTGCAAACCTTTGGTGAAGGATTAAATAAAATTAAGAGGCTATGACAAAAATATTTTTTTCAGAGTGTACATAGGTTTTTTTCACTCTTGCAGCAAGTGGCAACAGTACCACAACAAATACAGACAGACAAGTTAAAAAAAACCTACCCTGGTCACAGTATAGCCCGGAGTAACTTGGGAGACACACACAGGTGAAGGAAGCCTGCCCGTCAATGCATGTGCCTCCGTTGTGACATGGATTTGACTGACACTCATCAATGTCTTTATAAAAACAGACACAGAGAATGAGAAAGGTGAAATAACTTCTAGTTCATTTAACTTAACAATTTCATTAATTATTTAATTCTAATTCCATACAGAATCAGCCCCTTACCCGTTTCACATCGATGGCCAGTGTAACCAGGAGCACAGCTACATGAAAAGATGCTGCCACTTTTGTAGCAAGATCCCCCATTCATACAGAAATCCTCTGTACAAGAATTAATTCCTGTATAAGGGGAAAAATGATCACTGATTAGTGGAAATCTCTTTTGATTATTATTTGATATTTTATTAAAATGTTTAGAGAAAAAAACTTACCAGGGATTTCAACAGTCTCTCCAATTACAGTGTGGCCGAAATCAATCCCAATATTAGGCTGGGTATTCATTTCAACACCATCTGTTGGTGGTTCTCCCCCACTAAGGGCTGGTAGGGAAGCGGATGCATCCTCTTCAGAGAGATGTGGAGCTGTGGTGACTCTAGATGTGTCTAGTACTGGTTGGCTTTGAGTTTGTGCTGGAGCAATTGTTGTATGCTCTACTTGGGAACTGGGGGCATTTGCTGTAGCATTTACCTTGAATATTTCCTGGATTTCATCTTGGGACAGGGGATGCTGGTTAACTCTTTCTGTTTTTGCTATATTTGTGGCATCAATGTCAGATTTAGTCTCAGAGCTGGCACTGCCTGCTTGTGTACTAAACACATAAGGCAACTTTGTGGTAGCTGACAAAGGCTCTGGGGTAATGGTCTCAGCCTCATCACTATCCTCTTCGGTGATAGTAGCTGTGGTCCAGCTTTGCTCAGAGCTGTTGATGGCTTCTGCATCACTCTCAGAAGTAGAAACTGATGGCACACTGATGTAGGATGTTGCCAACAATGTTTTTTCAGAGTTTTCAGAATTAGATTTTGGAGAAACAGATGGTGTTGTAGAAGCCACGGTTGCCTTTCTTGGTTTAGATGCATCGTTGTTAGGAGGAGGTCCTTGAACACTGCCAGGGTCAGGTGAATCATAATCTGGGGTTGGATAATCTATATCATCAGGAATATTGTAGACTGGAGACATTGATATTTGGTAATCTGTTTCTGGGGATGGCTGAAGCTTTGGTCTGAATGTTCCATAGTCTTCCAAGGACATAGGGTGAGCTGTGGTCAGTGATGCAGCCTGAGAAAAGATGTCAATCTGGGGATGGTGTGTTTGTGTGATCTCCGACTTCACTTGCTCATATGATTCCCCGGAGTTCAATATTGAAAATGCAGGAGAAGCTGTGGTGCCGAACTGGACTATGTTTTCAGGCTCTGTTGAAGCTGAGACGTCATTTGAAGTGGGTTCAAAGGATGTGTGTTCACTTGAGGTTGTGGTCACTAATAGTTCTGTCACAGTCTGGCTACTTGCATCAGAGGGGTCATAGTCTTGTCCTGATTCCTTACTAGGTAGGATTGGGATAGTAGTGGCCAACACAATACTCTCAGAGAACGCATCAGTTTTGGGATGGTGAGTGAGCATGGCCTCAGACCTGGCTTGTTGGAAGGCCTCCTCAGGTGTTGTATCTAGTTGTGGAGGAAAGGAGGTGACAAACTGAACCATATTTGGTTTTGAAGTGCTTTCTAAAGAGGACACTGTGGGTGAGTAAGTCGATTTTTCAGTGGATACAGTTTCTTCATCTACTTTAGAGGGTACTATTTCATTTGTGGGTTGTGAAACCCATGATACTTTCTCAGAATTTGAGCTTGCCTCATTGTCTGAGGTCTGAGTTTCATCCAATCTGGTGATTGTGGTGGGTTTCTCTGAAAGGAACATACCAGATGGTAAATCATCCAGTTTAGCTTCAATATAAGAAGTGGAAGGCATAGGGGGTGTGGTTAAACTATAGACTTCTTCAGAGCTTGACTCAGAGGACTCAGAAGAAGTTGAGGTGGCTGGTGGTGTTGAGACAACTTTGTTGCCATGGTCTGGCTCAATAGTAGAAACATTGCCTACATGTGGTGCTGCTGTAGTTGTCAGTGAATACTCTGAATCAGCATCTGAGGCAGGATATAAAGTTAGTGGTGTAGACAGTGTCTCACTTACAGACCCTGAACCCTCTGGTTCTTCCATTCCCACTACGTTCTGTCTCACTGTAATTTCTGTGACACCTGCGGCTTCCTCTGTCTCACGTGTTGGGTAAAATGAAGAAGAAGGAACAATAGAGATACTATCAACATCAATAATTGTGTCTTCTGTGGTAATATACTCTTGAGTGGGGTTGCGTTGCCTAACATTGTCAGTAAATCCAGATAACAAATTATCTTCTTCTATATTGTCCTCTGTAAATATGATTGAAGGTTCGGACACATGCAGGACCATGGTAGGTGCTTGTTCAGTGAGGTCACCATTGGCTTGGTTGCTGCTTGGAGTAACAATCACAACTTGTTGGTCTGTAATGCGATGGTACATGATGGTGGGAACTTGTGTAGATACTGGCGTGATTTCATCTTGTTTATGTTCACTGCTAGAGCTTACCGTGGTGGGATGAGCCACGGTATGGACAGTGATAGCAGATGTGGTAGATGATTGGGCAGTGGGGATAGGGTAGGTTGCTGTAACCCCCACATGATCTGTGACAGTTATTTGAGGGTTCTCTGTGCTGAAAAGGGAAAAGGCAGTACTCTCAATGGTATGTGTAGACACACTTTCAAGAGTTGCTGAGGTATAAACTGAACCATCAACTGCTTTTTTATTTACTTCATTGGAAATTGTCACTGTACCAAACAATGGGTGCCCAGGGCTTGAGGAGGACACATATGATGTGCTTGTTGTCTCTTGGTTGTAAAGAGATAAAGATGCAGGGGCAGCAGATTTTTCTGTAAAAACACTGTCAGTGGACTGTATTTGTTTGCTAGGTAACTGCGTAGATGAAATCACAAAAGAACCTGTAATTGGTGCAAACGTTGTTTGTGTCCCTGAACTCTCATATTCTACTGGGGAATCATCTGGAATGTCACCACTGCTATGATCAGTTTCTGAAGTCTTGGTACTAGAAATATGTGGTAATTGGTTTGATGATGGCATCTTTTCTGCAGGAGAAGAAGTAATTGAGCGTGTTGAGGAAAGAGTAATGACCATGTCTGATGTCATTTTTGTCTCATCTGTTTCAGCCTCATCTGTCACTACAACAAATTCAGCCAGAGATTTTGTGGTTGGTTCAGCGGACCCTGCACCAGATCCATCTGGACCTGATTCCATGTCCTCACTGCCAGAATTCTCCATGTCAGCATAAGTTTCCTTGGGGTTCAACACAGTGACAATGGTTGTCATGATCTGAGAAGTGTCACTTCTTGATGGTTTATATGTTGTTGGAGCGTGTGTTGTTAATTTCTCAAGGGATTTTGTGGCCTCTGTGCCAGTTTTATCTGTGAAATCAGATACATCATCTCCTGAGTACTCTCCTTTGGAAGAATCCCCACTTCCTTCCAAACCCTCAGTTGTGGTGGAAAGAACGGTGGCATATGTAGACTCTCCAGTTGTTAACTCATGTGGGGAATTCTTTGATGACTCAAAATTAGGCATTGATGTGCTCTGCGTCATTAAAATATCACCTGACACGTTAGGGAATGTGGTTTTACTCTGGAAAAGACGAGTTGAAGTTACTGTTTTCTCAGTACTAAAGAGAGATAACATGGGGGTTGCAATGGAATGCAAATGAATATTTGTTTTCTCAGACTCATCAGTAAAAGCTGAAACTGTGGACAGCATCGTC